TGTGTGTGTGTCTATGTGTGTGTCTGTATATGTGGGGGGGGCATCGTATGGGAGAGGGATGGTAGATGTATGGGTGATTGGCGGGGGGTAGACACATGGAGGGGCCCCAGGGCAGTTTTCGCACCGGGGCCCCATTGTTTCTAATTATTCCTCTGCAGGCAGGTAAAATAGGAATCAGTTTAAAAGTTGGTTTGTGTTTGATCTCTTTCCTGTTTGTTTTCTTTTTAATTTACATGCTCAACATAGAGTTAAAAGAGAAAAAGTACATCTTCCATTTTACTGTTTTGTACTGCAGTGCATTCATTTGTAAACAGTCACTTCACTGTCATTAAACCTCCCTCCAGCTGGAACCTGTGTTTCTCATAACAATACTGTGCACAGCTCTCTGCAGCCACATATTTAGAAATGACCTTTTCAGCTCGTGACAGGGTTAGAAAAAGAAACTTTGATTGATAAGGACAGCTGTGTTTTCGACTCAATGAGCTCTGGCAGAATTTGCAATTAAAGAAATACTACAAGCACCATAACTACTGCAGCCCACTAAATTGGACTTGGTGTCACAGTTCAACACTTACCTAGGTCTTGGGTACCTTGTGCGTCAACCAGACTTCTTGACAAGGAGATGCCCAGTGCCAGTTTTGTTCATCATAGGAATTCCTTCAACTTACCCAACCTATCCAATGAGCATATGTAGTCATTATGTGTAGGGTAATGAATTCCCATGTCCATGTCACTTCATTATGTTTGAAAAATGAATGTATCTATAAGCCCCCACTAATTGATATCACAGGAGAAGCTATGGTTCCACCTGCCCATGCAAGTTCTTGCATAGTGTGCTAACTACTTCGTATAGACTCTCTCATAGTTTACTATAAGAGAGGCGGTATTGGGAATTTATTGCTGAGTAGGTATTTATGAGATATGGTACAAGGCTGCATTGAGAACAATGAGATTGCCAAGATTGACTAAGAAGTTTTAACCACTGCCTTGTCCATGGTGTATAGGCAGCTTTCTAGCAAACAAGAGGAATTCTGATGTATTGCTTTTACTTTAATGTGTTTACATGGTATTGGACTTAATAACACATTACTGTGATACATTAAAATAGGGAGCTGGGGTCATGCCAGCATGGAACGCCTCTTTAAGGAGATCATGTTTTTCAATGTGGAAGTAGCTTTTAAGGAATTGCAAAATAGTTTATAATAGTTCATAATGGTGTGAAATTCTGATGACACCATCGTTTTAAGGACACAATCTGTACATCAGACAACCCATGACAAGTTGGTTAACAGTGACTATATACATAACATTTAATTTCCATCTTTAGCTCACAGCTTAAACTTGTGAAGTTACCATATGGGTAAAAGTCTCACATCATAAGAAAATAAAAATATTTCGGCACAAATGTGAGATATTTGTATTGTACAACCATTGCAGGTATGGATTGGTATGGCTAGAATTAAGTGTGTAATCTCTGTCTTAGCGACACCTCCAGTAGGGGACAGACTGTGGCAGGTATGGGACCCTAATTTAGTGTTTAGTGTGGCTGGTTTTAAGACTGCATGGAGGGACAGCGTCAGAGGACTCCAAGCACTATAACCAGTTTAAAGAAATTATATGTTTATAGAGCCTACAGTGCCCCTTTAAATTTGAGGCCTCATTAGATATTGCAAGAATAAATTATATTGCAAATGTATAGCTGCTTATGTCTCAATGTAAAGATATGTAGTAGAGCAGATTATATTTTTTTCTATAGTTTTTTTTTTCTGACTTTAAAATAAATGTGACTCAACACTTCCTGGTCACATGACCTAGATTTCCTCATGACAGTAAGCTACCATAGTAAAAATACAGACATGCCATGTTGGCAAAATACAAGTGATGTTATACAATTCTTAAACCAATTACACATTATGTAAATATGTACAAAATCAAAAAAAAGGCATTTTTTCTAGTGACAGAATTTACATGTATTTACGATATCAATAAAAAACAATAAAGTGTATGGTTTCATTTATTCAGAAATAATAAATTTTCCAGTTGTTACAGTTTCAGTTTTTAATCTTTAACAGTTTATGTAGCATCTCATCACCAACAATCCCTTTAAACTACAAAAATTGTGTACACAAATATGCAACATAAACTCAAAATATAAGAAATAAAAAAATGTTTATAATGTAGGAATTCAATGACATAAAAAGGTATAAAAACATTCCATGTGTACAATCACAAAGTTAAAGCACAACGATAAATTGTGTAACAATTGCAAATGCCCAAGGGCCAGAAGCCTCCCGATAGTCCCCCTGTACACCCTTCTACTGGTATCAAGTTCTCTTTAAAGGAGAAGATGGAGACTCCGAGTTCGGGGGTGTCACGTATTCATCCGCTTATAAAAATGTGGTTAATGGCATTTACTGTCCACACATGAAAAGTTGTGCCGAGCAGCAACCAAATCCACAGAAGGGTTAATACTGAGCAGCAATTATGCAAATGGAAACCTGGTAACTGCCTTTGGGGTCAAAGGCCGGTTACAGCCTATCAGATCTAGAGGATGGGTATTTAGGCCCAGTTCTCATCCTGCTCAGTGCCCTGTCGTGGTTTCCCTTGTGGTTGTCTGAGAGTGCGTTATTGATTCTGGTTATTTGACTTTGGCATTGTTTTTGACTTCCCTGTTTTCTGGCATCCCTGACTCCTGGCTTTTTCTTATCGTTGTGTCTCTTTCTTTTTCCCTTGACCTTGGCTATTCCTGACTATTCTTTGGTACGTTAGTCCGGCCATTCTAAGGTCCGGTATACGTTACCTATCAGTCCTTTGTGTTACACAATTCTACGTGCTGGATCATTCTGTAATCCTGACAGGGGGCGGCACTGTACGAAAGGCTGTTCGTGTTGTAAAGAGAATCCTTGTTCAAGTTTGACGTGTTTCGTCCTATTGGATTTTTTAAGAGCTGCAGAGACCCTTCAATTCACTTCATATTTGTAGTCTCCACAATCTCAACTGATCACCCTTACCTGACACGTGAGTGACGCTACCACGCATGAGTATAATGGCAACACTACTGCTTCTGCCAATCTAACGCAGGGCTGCCCAAACGGTAGATCCCCAGATGTTGCAGTACTACAACTCCCATGATGCTCTGCATGCCTTTAGAATGATAGAGCATCATGAAAGTTGTAGTTTTAAAACATCTGGGGATCTACCTTTTGGGGACCCTTGTTCTAAATGGCTGACCATTTACAGCTTTCATATTCACAAAACTTTATTAACACAAACAGTGTGGTAGCAGCCATACAAATCCAGGTTTCAATTCTCTAAAAAGGAAACTGACTAAAAAGGTAACTGCTCTGCATGGTTTTAAAAAAGGGAACTTTGGGAGATGATATTCCCTCCTCTGTTTGAGATACATTTATAACTACAGCACATTAAACCATTAATTTACTAAAAAAAAAAAAAACTACACACATCATTTTTTAAAAACAATATACATAAGGGAACAATAAAAATATTAAAACACTTATGAATTTACAATTTATCATTTCTAATCTATGATTTATAGAGATTTATCTATTCCAGACGTGATACAATTCAGAGAATTAACTATATAGAAAGACAAGAAAAGCATATGGATAGTGGACTGCATAACTAACAAAGGATATAGTTTCATTTATTCAGAAATGCTGAACTGTCCAGCTGTTACAGTTTCTGTTTTTACTATTTCACAGCTCATATAGCATCAAAACATCAAAAATCACTTTAACTGGTTTTCAAATATTTTGTCAGTGTCTCAAAGGTCACATGAGGACTGTTCTTACTTGCAAAGCACGCTACACAATTTAAAGCGGAATTCTAAGGATTTTACGCAAACTGAAAGCTACAAGTTAGCTATAGGTTGTGAAATTACTTTGTATACCTGACTTCCCTGGCACATCTACAGCAAACAATGCAAATTAATTTAAAATCACTTTTGCCAGGAATAGAGTTACCCTAAAACGCAAACCTAAAGGAAACAGTAAAGGTACATGTACAGATCGTCAAAGAGTTTGTGCAGGAGACAGATAAATGTCTGCCAGCAGAATAAACGAGAGACAGGACAAGGTCAGGATAACGGAAAAACACAGAATTGATAGCCAGGCCAAGATCAGGATAACAGAGAGCAAGAATAGTATAACAAACTGAGGTCAGAAAATAGGAAATCCAATACACCGTATAAACAGACTCTCAGGTAGCAAAAATCACTACAGGGCAAAGAGGCCCCGAGGCCTGCCCCCTATTCCACCCACAGGGCTGCCCCTCAGTTCGCCCACAGGGCCACCCCAGAGTCTGCCCACAGGAATGCAGTGTGTGTACTGATTGTGGTGTGTGTGTAGTGGATGTAGAATGTGTGTAGTGGATGCAGAGTGCGTGTGTAAAGTGGGTGTGGTGTGTGTACTGGATGTAGTGTGTATAGTGGATGCAGATTGTACATTTGTGTAATGTATGAGGTGCATATTAGATGCAGAGTGTGTGTTTGTGTAGTGGATGTAGTGTTTGTGTGTAGTGAATGCAGAGTGTGTGTTTGTGTAGTGGTTGTAGTGTGTGTTTGTTTAGTGAATGCAGAATGTGTTTGTGTAGTGAAGGCAGAGTGTGTATAGTGAAGACAGAGTGTGTGTTTGTGTAGTGAATGTAGTGTGTGTATAGTGAATGCAGAGTAAGTGTATGTTTGTGTAGTGGATGTAGTGTTTGTGTGTATTGGATGTGGTGTGTATAGTGAATACAGAGTGCGTGTTTGTGTAGTAAATGTAGCGTGTGTGTAGTGAACACAGAATATGTGTTTGTGTAGTGGATGTAGTGTGTGTAAAATGGGGGGGGCATTTTAATTTTTTTTTACTTTTTAAAAAATATATATTTTATAACATTTTATTTTACTCCCCCCTCCCTGCTTCTTACCTGACCAGGGAGGGGGGAGATCACATTCCCTGGTGGTCCGGTGGCATGGTGTTTGCAGCCAGCCGCTGGACTCTGCAGAGAGGGCCCGCAGCACACTCTCACTTCCCTTCGCAGCAGCTCCCCTGTCTCTAACTCTCGTGGCCTGCGTGCTGCGTGGAGCGTTGCACTGGTAACCCACACAACTCTCTGACAGCCGCAGGACTCACAAGATTTAGACAGGGGAGCTGCTGGGAAGGGAAGTGAGAGTGTGCTGTGGGCCCCCTCTGCCATAAACTGGTAGCCGGGGGCCTGCAGGTACACAAATATAGCGAAAATGTGCCTTAGGCTGGCCACAATAAAAGGCCAATCTAAAATGTTCAGTTTTATCACACAGCACAATGCCACAGATATTGCAAGTTTTGAGGGAGCATGCAATTGGCATGCTGACTGCAGGAATGTCCACCAGAGCTGTTGCCCGTGAATTGAATGTTCATTTCTCTACCATAAGCCGTCTCCAAATGCATTTCAGAGAATTTGTCAGTACATCCAACCGGCCTCACAACTGCAGACCACGTGTAACCACACCAGCCCAGGACCTACCTCCACATCCAGCATCTTCACCTCCGAGATCGTCTGAGACCAGCCATCCGGACAGATGCTGCAACAATCAATTTGCATAACCAAAGAATGTCTGCACAAACTGTCAGAAACCATCTCAGGGAAGCTCATCTGCATGCTCGTTGTCCTCATTGGGGTCTTGACCTGACTGTAGTTCATCGTCGTATCCGACTTGAGTGGGCAAATGCTCACATTCAATGGCATCTGGCACTTTGGAGAGGTGTTCTTTTCATGAATGAATCCTGTAAACACTGGCCGATAGCAGACAGTGTGTATGGCATTGCGTGGTCGAGCGGTTTGCTGATCTCAACGTTGTGAATCGAGTGATCCATGGTGACGGTGGGATTATGGTATGGGCAGGCGTATATTATGGACAACGAACACAGGTGCATTTTATTGATGGCATTTTGAATGCACAGAGATACCGTGACGAGATCCTGAGGCCCATTGTTGTGCCATTCATCCACGACCATCACCTCATGTTGAAGCATGATAATGCATGGCCCCGTGTTGCAAGAATCTGTACACAATTCCTGGAAGCTGAAAACATCCCAGTTATTTCATACTCACCGGACATGTCACCCATTGAGCATGTTTGGGATGCTCTGGGTCGGCGTATACAACAGCGTGTCCCAGGTCCTGTCAATATCCAGCCACTTTGCACAGCCATTGAAGAGGAGTGGACCAACATTCCACAGGCCACAATCAACAACCTGATCAACTGTATGTGAAGGAAATGTGTTGCACTGCATGAGGCAAATCAGTGGCGTACTAAGGGGGGGCGGAGGGGCAGTCCGCCCCGGGTGCCAGCAGGGTGGGGGGTGCCTTGGGAGGGGGTGCCGGCCCTCCTCCTGCTGCAGCCGCCCGAGCGCTCTGCAGAGAGCCTCAGGCGGCTGCAGCTTTGCCCGCCCGGGCGCAGCCTGAGGAGAGGGACTGACAGGAGGGAAACGTTCAGCGCTCCCTCCTGTCACTCCCTCCCTGTAGCGTGGCCGAGCCCTGTATCATGATCCACGGGTACAGGGAGCATCTGTCTCCTGTACCCGGCCGGACTAACAGGAAGAACACACTGAGTGTGCACTTCCTGTTAGTCCGGCCGGGTACAGGACACAATAGCTCCCTGTACCTGCGGACCAATAGAGGGCTCGGCCACGCTACAACTGAGGTAGGGGGTGGGGGAGGGGGGAGAATAAGGAAAGATGGGGGGGAGAATAAGGAGAGATGGGGTGGAGAATAAGGAGAGATGGGGGGAGTATAAGGAGAGATGGTGGAGAATAAGGAGAGATGGGGGGAATAAGGAGAGATGGGG